TGAGTGGACATAACACTCGTCCTCTGTACTAAGAGTCGATGGTTCACACCTGGGCCACACCCATTCGACCCAGCTGCGAATGGGTACCTAATTTTAGTTGGGACGGGTGTCGGGGAGGCGGTTGACAGGAGACGGGTGACGGGGAGGCGGGTGACGGGGAGGCGGTTGACAGAAGGGGAGTGACGGGGGTGAAGGAGCCTACAGTAAGTGCAATGCCAGTCAAGTTGCCTCCATGTTATTACCATAGTAAGGTTATCTAACACAAGCCGTACAGAATCTGAACGTTGGATAAGTAATATCATCCCATGCACAAGTTAGTTCACACCTGCTGGAGAATGGCACCTTCATTCTTCACTACAAACTAATACTTATGGTCCCTTTCTACCTGTTATCATAATTAGGAGTTTTGGGATTACTCTCTTTGTAAATGACCATTACTTGTGTCTTTACAGCATTAACTCTAATAGTTCATAATTTTCACCTTTTTCCCTCTAACATGTTTACGAGTCATTGTAGTGTTTCTTCACTATCTGTAATAAGAGCAGTAACGCGTGTATGTTGAATATTTCGTATTACTTTACCATTCACTTTAATTCCTTCACTGCTACTTACAGTTTTCCTCGTCAAAAATTCGGAGTTTAGCGTTTTTTTATTTTTTTAGGGGAGGGGGATAAAGAGTTGTTGCATTGTTTGTTCTCTACCATAACCTTTTCTTATGAGTTGCAACCAATCCTAACCTAATCTAACTTGCCATTGCTTCCTAACCAACAGTTGTAAACATTTACCTATATTGTTGAGAAGACTCCTTTCAGCATCAGTAATCCTTGAGCCGCTGGTAACTACTTGGGCGGTCGGCCACGTCTGTTAGGCACTCGTGGCATGGCAAGTACTGGGCATGTACTGACACCAGGATGTATCTGTACCTACACACTCATATTTCCAAGTTTCTGTTCACTACTACACTGTTGTTTTATATCACTGTATATTCTTCACACTAATTAAGTCTGCTCTATAGCAACGTAGTTCTTTTAAATACAGTACAAGAAAACACACTCTCGTTCGTCCCATCACTACCTTGGTTATTACTAGTTAATAAAGTAATTGTTTTGCCTACGTGGTGGACTTCTAAGTTCTACGTTCACTTATAGTCACTTGATTATGAGAAATATCTAGACTTGCACCAAAATACACTATTTTTCACGGTTTTAAACCTCAATATTTGTGCACTAGAATCAGTGTACATACGGAAGTGTCAATCGTGGCGTCATATTATAAATATTACTGTACAATACCAAGGATTAGAGGAGACAGTCCTTGGGTGAGAGGGTCAACCGTCACCCTTCCTGTCTTGGGTTTAATTGGCAACTCCGGCAAGTTACACGACACCCCCCCCCCCCCTCCTGGCCAACAACCATGTCCGATTTGGATTTTTATAATCCAAACTTGATCGTACATACAATTTAAGGATAAATTAAGTTATCTAGTACCATACAATTAATAACTAATATAGTAAATATATATTTTGCGGACAAAAGTAAATGTAAACGCGAATAACTTTACTATACAGGCATTCCAAATTCTTCAGCTTCTGGCACAACCTGTCAAACCAGTTACCAACTCAAGGAACATTTCAGAAATATTCAATTATATCACAAAGATTCTTAAATTTTAGTAACACATTTATTCCTATCTAAGAATAATAGAAAATTTTTTAAATCAATAAAACGTTTAACCCATAAAACCTTTCCTGGAAAAATATTTACGAATTACTTCACGGACTACAATGTGTTAATTACCTTATTGGGTTGTTACCGCTGATTAGACAAATCAGCGGTAATATATACTGTAGAGTGTAGATATATGAGAAATACATTTAGATAGATAGGTAGACATACATATGTATAGATCGATGGGTAGAGATACATACATATGTATAGATAGCGGGTAGACAGATACATACTGTACTGTACATATGTATAAATAGATGGGTAGACATACATATGTAGTGTATAGATAGATGGGTACAGGTGTATAGATAGATGGGTAGAGGTGTATAGATAGATGGGTAGAGGTGTATAGATAGATGGGTAGAGGTGTATAGATAGATGGGTAGAGGTGTATAGATAGATAGTGAATGTTTTAATCATATTATGTTGTAGTTATTTCAAGGCGTAAGTAAATACAGCATCTACCTGGCCCGTCCACCAGGAGCAGATTAATTAATTGTACTTATTATATTCAGGAGGACCTTTTCTAGTACTGTGCAATATATATGTAACAGTACCATGCACAGTACATTTTCTACTTTGCACTAACAGTACATGTATAACGGGACAATGATTGGTACATTTATACTTATTAACTGTACATGAACCAGTATATTTATACAATTTACATGTACTGTGCTAATAAGGACCCAACATTTTTTAACCTTATGTTTGCAAACGATGCCGAGTTATTCAGGGAAATTAAGAACCAAACAGACTGTCAAGAGCAACAGAACGACCTCTCTCAGTGTTAGGATGCATTGTCACGAAATGGAAAAGGATACATCCAGAGGCAGCTGCAATCTTGGGTGTCACCAGGGGCGGTCGGCAGTCTGAGGCGCCCCTAGAAGCGGTTCAAGGTCTGATGCACCTCCAGGGTGACTGGCAGTCTTTAACGCTTCCAGGGGCAGTTCCCTGTCTTTGGCGCCCCAAGGGGTGGCAGGTCTATTCCTTTATGTCCTCCTGTCTAGTCCTTTGTCACACCACCCATGCCTCAGTCACACCACCCATGCCTAAGTCACACTAACCATGCCTCAGTCACACCACCCATGCCTCAGTCACACCACCTATGCCAGTCACACCACCCATGCCACAGTCACATCACCCATGCCTCTGTCACACTACCCATGTCAGTCACACTACCCATGCCACAGTCACACCACCCATGGCTCAGTCACACCACCCATGGCTCAGTTGCATCTTTTTGGGGAGGGTCAAGCTTGTGCCTCAATCAGGGTCAAAAGTTATAGGCCATGTTTGATAGTTTGATGTACTGTACAGTCACAGGAAAAATGTGCCTGTCAGTCCTCCTGTACTGCGCACATCATTGTCATTCCTAAAAATCCCATTTAATTCATATTACGCTATATAACATTCAAATGCACCGTGCTTGTAGAACCTCAGAAAACGGGAAACATTGATAAAGGACAACTCACCTACTCAATGTTCCTAGACCTTGTGTTGTATTGTACCCAGGTACAGTTATATCATATTAAGTGTATGTATTCATAGCATTAAGGAGAACTCAGGGTATACATAAGATGACTGTTAAAGTCCAGTTGAGCCGGACTAGTGTACTGTAAGACTAAGTGGGGATCAGGGTTTGAAGGTCCTACTATTTACGTCTGTGAGCGTGGAGCGAACATAACTCCCACAGATATCATATGAAAATACATGAGAACAATGATCTGGAAAAAGGATAAATGTATCAGAACTATGTGAGGTGTTGAAAGTGATCCAGAAACTATACTTGAAAGGAAATATCTTGTATGCGTCGGTATGAATTTAATACACCTCGTATCCTCACGTGACATATACCCACGACAGGTACAGTGATCAGAGAATCTTATGTCTGTGTTCAAATTGTGCAATGTGTGAGAGGAGGATCCCTCATTACAGTTTTAAGTGAAGGTGATACACCCACGCCATGAACATTCAGCCTTTGTTTCAAGGCGCGTCATGTACCCGCCTCAGTTGCCACGTTGATATAATAACCCCATGAATTTGCCCCAAGAACTAGCAAACCAAGACCTTACCTTAGTGTGTAATTTAGGATTAAAATATGGGTTTATAAGGCATGAGTGACAATATAGCGAAAAGTGTTAAGGTGAGAACCCTAAGAAACAAAAGTGAAAATTAAGGCTTGGAAACTGTAGGCCTATGTGACGAGGAGCGGCGGGGCAATGCCCTCAGTCTTCCTGGTTCTACCGCCACCTCAGGTGCCATGTGGTCGGAGTACCTTGCCGCCCGGCCGCCATTGTCCCTTTGAGCGTCACAACAGGTGGGGACTACTCCCCGCTATGCCAATCCACTGTGAACCTGTGGATTTCCAGCGCACCACTCCAAATGAATAGTCACAAATAAGGAGACCGTGAGAAACTCTGCGGTCGTCACTTGGAGCGACCTATAATACCAGGCGTAGAAATAGTGCTGGTATGTCTCTAGGTGAAGCCCTCGTCTTTACCCACCGAGGGCGGTGTGCGAACGAGGTGCCTGTTGCGTATACCTAAAAGTCACAAGGAGTCACATACTTGCAGGTATGGAGTGTAACAGGTGTGTTGAGATGGTGCTACTATGTATGATAACCGACGGTGCTAGATTCCACACAGGTGGAGCAGGCTGATGTGTTAAGGGATATTGTAAGAAGGAACGACCGAGGTAAGGTGGTCACAGATTGGTATGCAATAAATAGGTGGATAACACGCCATCAATGTAAGAGTCTGGGGCCCATCTGGGTAACCATATTTCCGTTGTTCTTCTGAGGAAGGCCAATTCATGTATATGTTTTTTTTACCAGTATGTTTTATAAGGAATAAATCAATTAAGACATGTTATGGTTTCACCCTTCTTTACCCTTATCGGTCTGGTCAATGGAAAACCTAACCCAATGCCTAGTCCACTCTGCCCGCTACCTAACGAGCTACATGCTGTCCAGAGGGGGTCTGGTGGCAGCGACCCTTAGAAATTAAGATTAGAGTTAAGTTATCCCCTTAGATTTAGTGACCCCAGAATCTGGCAGTATACTCCATCCCATCTGTGAATCCTGAGACTTATGAACCTTAGAATCCGAGACCACACATTGTTGTGATGTCTCGGTTTCACGGGTTCATGGATGAGACCGACAACTTTTTCCTGTGACTGTATATTACTTGTTTTTTATATCATTACAACATTTGAGATGTTATATCCAACTCAAATTTTAATTCTAAATTATAAAATAAGTAAATCAATTCATTCTTTTATGGTTTCTTTATTTTAAACTAATAAACACACAGTGAATTTTTATTAATATGATGCTTCACTAATTGACTTTCAGACTGTAAGTTCTGTATTTAAATGACAGCATATTTATTAGAGGTATTTTTGAAGTGATAACACAAGTCAATGTGCACTAGGTACCTCATAAGTTCCTACTCCTAATACAAATCTATAAAACCTTCATACTACTTCAAAAAATATGGTTAAATAAAAAATCCTAAAACAGTTCCTTGAACAGAATTTTACTTCTAATAGAATAACTAAGGGGATAGAAAAAATTTGCAATCAAAATTATGTATACAATAATATTTTTTTATAAGTTTAAACAAATTCTTTAAAAGTACAATTCTGTTTTGGGGTTAACAAATACTTTAGATTCATGTTTTAAAACTTGTTAAAATTAATCATGTTTCATAATTCATAATAAAACCAAATCCATATAATTATCTTTTTCATCGTTGTCTGATATAAATTTATCAGAAAAAAAGAATTACAGAATGATTATTGATGATGATAACTTAGTTGATTCCCCTGTTCTTGAGAGCTAACTAAAAACAAGAAGCTGAATATATTGTTCAAATATTTTTTTATGAATAATACCTGTACCTAATTAAAAAAAAAAAAGCCTTATAATGTGCATCTTAAACAAAGGTCAAAACAAACATGCCTACATGAAAGGATCCCAGCCAATCCAAGTACGTCCAAGGATATTTGGGTCAGAAGCCTGTTCCAAAAGAACATCTACTTGTTGGTGTGTACTCAGGCCATCCTTGCCAATATCTGCTCGTATGTGTTCTCCTCTGTTGCCAAGAACCACTTCCTGGAGGAATGGCATCATAGAAGGATCCCTTTTAAAATGTTTGCCCTGAGAAACTGCCCACAAGGTCACATAAGCAGGGTTGATGCCACTTAATTTATCTTTAAGACACCTGATACGGTCCTTGGAAAATATTTCTACCTTGCTGTCTTCAACATCACCTTCCTGACGCCTTACAAAATCTAACCAGTCTTCTGTTGGCTCTTTAACGAAGGCTTCCAAGACAGATGTTAGCACGTGACGAGACTCCCGAAGAGCTCCTAGTGCTGCAACCATCACCTCCCGCAACATTCCTATGTGACCCACAGGCTGAAAGACATTGGCAATCTGGGGAGTAAGTCGAAATGGCATCAACTCTGGATAAGGAAGAAACTGTACAGCAGTTTCAAAATGATGGCCAAAGTCAATACCAACTACATGGCCTGTCTTTAAACTGACTAATGAATTCCCACAATGACGATCACCAATCCCCAAAAGCCAATGTGATATGCATAACGTAGCATAGCTGACGGCAAATGCACTACGTAGAGCAAAGAAGCCCTCACTGTTACTGGAAAGTTTAATCAGTCCACGTCGTAACAGGTCCCAGGGAATCTTATTAACCACATTCTCATAAGTCTTTACAACATCCTTTTTTTTGCCCTTCTTTGTAACAACCCAATGGCTTGCTTTCTCATATATGCCACGTGCTTCCTTATAGCAATTCTTCTCATTATCTTTATATGAAACAGACATAAATTCCTTTAAGGGTTGAGATGATTCAACCCACTGCAAGAGTCCAACTTCTAGAGAGAGTGGCACTACCTGGTATGTATCCAAGAAGGGACGTGATGTCGTGTGAGCACACACAGAAGTAGAATACAAGCTGTTCATTAAAATAAACATCTGTTCCATTCTTTGGTCGGTTCGCAAATCTTCACCCCACTTCACCAGGAACTTATGATCTTTCTCGTCATCCCCTCGGATAACGACTCTCATAGGAACACGAAGTGAAGTCATCAGCATTAGGTTTTCATCAAAACTGGAGATCTTGACATGATACTCGGGTAAAGGCTTGGACATTCCAGAATATTGACCGGGTAATTCAATCATATCCGAGTGTTTGGAAGCTTGAAAGTTTGCTAACCATGGTGAGTAAGCCTTCAGCTGCTTTGGCATCTTTTTAAAATCATCTGAATTAAGCTCCATTTTTTGTTTAATATTAAAAAGGGCCTTCTGAATACCCTGGACAGACATGGTCTTAACTTTCTTCCGGTTTTCTCCAAACATTTTGTCAAGAGCAGCACTTACCTCCATCCTGATTCTATCCTGCTTAATGTAAGCTTCACCCTTCTCATTTGGACTGCCTTTTGTTAACCTACTGCTCACCTTCAACAACTCAGATATTACTTTTTCTAAACCATGTTCAATATCTTTCTTATCCTTCTTCATAATGAGATCACAAATTGCATCCTTACAAGCGATGGCTGGCACAACCATGAGTGACACAGCAGTGACAAACTGTTGAAGGAGACTGTTTTTATTCAGCAAGGTTTGCACTTTCTGACACATAACTTTGGCAGACTTACCAATATCACTGGTAAAATCATAACTCTTCATGCTGATACCAAATGGATAATGAACAGCCTGAGGATATTCTGCAGCTAATTTCTCTATAACAGGTTGCAGAGCAGGTCCAGGAGACTTGTCAACATATATCAGAATGTGACTTATCCAGAGTAAGAACATCCACACAGGTACTGTTTCACAACCTTTTATAAAGAGCGATACAAGACTCGGGTCCTCTTCCATCAGATTGATAAGACGTGGAAAATGGAAATGTGCATCACGTGACCCCAAAGACATGGCCCTCAGAACAGCGATGATTAAGGTCTTGTTGTATTCAGGAGCATCTATATTATTTCTCCAGTTTTCTAAGCAGTCTTCACAATACTTCACCAGTGCCATGTGAATATCTTTACCAGGATCTTGGGTTTCTTCAACTCCATCAACAAATTTAAGTAAACTATCTTCGGCACATTTTACAGCCTTTTTAAGACCGATGTAGCTACATTTAAGAAGTTCATTATACCATGACTCCTTTCCATTAGCATTTAGAAATTTACTGGCCAAAATTTGCATGTATTTATTTTCATGCTGCCATTCATTACCCATATCCTGGATAGAGTCACAAATTTCAAAACATAATGTACTTTCAAGCTTTAAATACCTTACCTCTATTCCAGTATTCTGTTCCAGTTCTGGCATGACACTAACTTTACCCAAGTTGTTTCCCCAAGTTTCCACTAGGTACTGTAACCGGCAACTGGGTTTACCACGTCCTCGAAGGATGTTTGTTTCTGCCATCAAGAAGTGGAATTGAGCACGGGAACAATTGTCATTGGATAGTGCTTTCAGCTTCTTCAGATATCTGGCAGCTAAGTGATAATTATTATTTTTAAGAGCTGCCTTTATAATAGACATGTTGATGGATATTTTGGTGGCTGTGATAACTTGTGGAACATCCTGTTGACTGTCCTCTTTTAATCGTTTCTCAAGAAAGTGGAGGTACAGTTCTCGGTATGAGGATAAGCACTGAATGAGAAGAGATGTGTCTGCAAGATTTGCTTCCTGCTTTTTCCAATTGATGACAGTCTGTTTCACTTTAGTGGGGTAGTTATCATTCTCGGCATACTTGATCGTATCAAAAAAATCACCGAGTTCTGTTAATAACTGGACATTGCGTAAAGTGGTTACGAGAGGTTTAGGTGTTAATAAGGTGTACTGAGCCAGAGTGAGGAGGGTGGTGGATGTGGCTGTGGTGAAATACGACTGGGCTTGGGCAAATTTCTCTTGGTTTGTCGACAACACGGCTAACTGAAGAGGTAATTCACCCTCTAACAGTGCTCTGTAGCGAGGCTCTCCCATTGCATTGTTAATAAAGTCACAAATGTTATTATCAGATTCTGCCCCATCTAAAATGCTCATAAGTTTGGAATGCAGTAAGGCAGGGAGGATAGCAGCAGCTGGACGTGGGAGGAGCCATACACGGTCCAGCTTCACTTGTCCATCTTCTTTCAAAAAGCGATCTTCCAGAAAAGTTTCAACCTCCTTCCACTGGCCAAGCATTGCAGCACATGACGTATACCATTCTTCCCAAACTCGAACCTGAAATATAGGTTTTCTAAACAGTTATTTATGCATATGATAATGGTACATAATTTTTGTTGTACTGTAGCAACATCTATACACAGATAATCCTCCCAATAATGGAAAACTGGTAATTCGTGCAAGCCCTGTCTGTTAAAGGGAGAATTCTCTTAACGGAAGAGTTCCCCCCTCCCCCTCATATACACAAAATAATATATCCTAAACTACACAATCTTAGCTGCACACTTATAACCATAATACTCATGATCCACTGTCCTCAAGCAGTAGCATCTGGCATATATGGCTGCAAGACTAACACCTAACCTAGCCTAACCCTTACATGGGTTAGCCATGATTTATCTGGTGGCAGTTCTCTATGCCAGGTGGTCTCTTGCAGCCTCCCAAATTAGGACACTTTGGACAATTCTAACCCCTTGGATAAATCAACAATGGTAGAGCTCCAAAGTTGTCAAATATAACTGCTATGTGTGTACAGTATAAATGATGTAAAAATATTTATGTTTGTACCTATGCACTGAGGTATGCTGAGAAAGAAAAATTTGTCATACATATAGAAATAGTATTCATGTTTGTATGGGTACAGACCTCTGCTGGCTCTGGCTCTTCTTCCCAGTCTGTGGTTGCAAGTGCAGTGCGATAGTGAACAAAGGCCTCAACGTGGTTATTTGTGGCCTCAGCCTGCAGTGCTGCTCTTGTTTCTTTCTTGATACTCCCCAACTTGCTCTGAACAATGCCTCGCACCACATCCCACATGTCTAGGCTCTTATATAATCTAAAAAGAAATGAAATTTCATGTACCTTATGCACATAATCATGCCCTTAATTATCGTAACAAAACCAATCAGTCGTTTCCTACTATGAAATCAGTTATTTCTACCAAGGAAACAAAGGGAATCTTATAAAAGCCTTTTACATATTTAAAAATAATCTATACTGCTCTATTACAAGACAAAAAGCATTCATCACACAGGATGAAGTATGGAATGATGGATATGATATGAGGTTGACAACCCTTTATCCGAAATTCCGAAAACCTCTAAAAACTTAAAGTTTTTTGTGGGGCATTACTATTTTTATTTTATTTTATTTTTTTCTAACAGGGATTATTAGCCCACCCGGGCACAGATCACTGACCCACATCGGGGCCTGGGGGACGAAAATGTAATAGTAATAATAATTATAATAATAATAATAATTATTCATAGTAAATAAAATGTTTAATAAAAATACACCAAAATAAAATAATAATGATTACAATAATAATAATAATAATAATAATAATAATAATAATAATAATAATAAATTATAATAATAAAATTAATAATAATAATGATAACAATAATACTGTAATAATAAAATAATAATACAGTAAAGAAATACAAGAATGAAAAAAAGATCAAAAGTGAGAAACACGACCTAGACTTATGAATTATTATTATTATTATTATTATTATTATTTATTTTATATTTTAGACCCCCAGGCCCCAATGTGGGTCAGTGATCTATGCCCAAGTGGGCTAATACACATAAAAAAAAAAAAAAAAAAAAAACCCTAACCATTCTGAAAACCGAAAAATTCCGAAAACCGAAATGCCTCTGGCCCCAAGGATTTCGGATAAAGGATTGTCAACCTGTACAAGACTTACTCTGCCATACTAAGCCATAAGGTGGCATCTGGTGACTGTGTACTTGGATCGGCTCTAATCTTCTTAATTGCTGGAGGCTGTACTCTTGCTTCTCCCCGTTTAGACACTAACACTTTCCTTTCCAAAACCAATATACCTAAAGCCTCCAATCGACTTCCTAGACAAGCTGAAAAGATATACAGTAGTTTAAATGTAATTGCAAGGCTTAAGAAAAGCATTACAGAAATTATTAATAAACACAAGAAGAAGCCCCTGCTCTATCAAAGATCAAGTATCACAATTTGTTATGGACTAATCTATGGCTTTGCAAATCAAATCATGCCCCACTTAGCCCGAGTTCATCCCTTCCCACTTTATATTCGTCAAGGTATCTGACCATAAGTGAGTGTTAATACATTAAATCTAAATTTGTAACATTAACAAACCCTCAAGTAGGGAACAGGGCACTTGTGTGACTAGTGAGAATGTTATTTTTCAATCCAATTTCTATCTATTTTAGTGAGGGTTTAAATACACAGCAGGTGCTTACAGTACAATATAAAAGTGTGGTGAAAGACATGCAAAACCTATTGTTGGTACATTAATGCTTATTCTATAACGATAAAAACTCTCTTTAATAAACTTAGCTAAACAATACCTGCAGCCAGTATCTCCGGGTTGACTGAAATATCATTGTTGATCATAAGGTGAAGAACAGTTCGCATCATTTCTGGATTACACATATAACTGTTTGCGAGGACGCCGTTAAGTAAGTCATTGAGCTGCTGATGCCACAGATCTTCCTCTCCACGGCTCATTAGGGTCTCCATGTTGTCTATCACTCCCTGGGTTAAAACTTCAAGCAGAAGACGGGCAACCTTCCCATCTCTCTGCACAAAAAATGAAAGTTGGGCTTTAATATACAAGGACACAGTTAGTTAAGATCTTAAGTAAATAAATATGTAAGAACATAATATAGTCAAACTTAATGAAATACAAATTGACCTGGGCTAATGCTTGGAGAGGAGCAATCAGCGCTCGGTGGGGGATCTGGATGTCAGGAAGTTCACCAATACGATAACTCCTGTACATTGTGACCTGGAACGTAATATAATATACACCCTTTACAAATAATTTATGAACGACAAAGCACTTCTTCTCAAAATATCCTCACACTACAATATTCATCTACATTTCATACATATCATTAATGGTACACTCTCTAAGAAGGGGTCCGATGAATTTCAAAATGAACTCCACTATTCCCGCTGCCTCTGTAAGCTGTGTCATGTTCTCTCACACAAAATCTTAAACATCGTAAACATACTCTTTGGAGAGAGTGTACACATGTAACACAAAATCTTAAGCTGTCATTACAAAGTATGAGATTTTTCCTGGATAAATCGGAATTATTTCAAAACTTTCCACTGCTCTTCATAGTAGAGGTGAGAACAGGTTAAGACGGAAACAAAGCTAAAAGTGGCTCTGTTTGGAGGTGAGGCTGCTGGATGGGGGCAAGTCTCGTACAAGAAAAAATGGACTTTGTGTCACAAGAATGGTGTAAGCTGGAGAAATCTAGCATAATATGAAGGTGGTTGTTTATGTGGGTGGGTGATTGGGTGTGGGTTAGGGGTATGGGTGAGTATGGGTAGGTGGCTGGGTATGGGTGGGTGGGTGATTAAGTATGGGTTAAGGTGAGTGTGAGTAAGTGGCTGGGTAGGGGTATAGGTGAGTGTGGGTAGGTTATAATAAATGTTGTCAGTTCTCCATAACACAAACGTTTCCTACCTGCGCTTCCCTACGTGACCTCCTCTCATGTTCCAGTTTATCTCTCAATTTCCTTCGTCGTTCTTCCATCTTGGCAAAATATATGGTCTGCTTTTCACGATCCTGATTCCTAACAAAGCGTCGCCTCAGAAGCTTGGATTGAAAGCTACTCTCAGAATCTGCAGAAGAATTGGTTATAAAACTCTAAACTTGTAATTTATTCAAGGTAATTTATCATGTCTTCTATAGAGCAAAAAGCATTACAAAAAATAAAAAATAAAATCAGCCTTAGTTACTTCACCATATTTTTATTTATTTATTTTTTTATTGAATACCCAAACTCTGAAGAAAGAAATTTATCTTCTGGGCAATAACTCAAAATTGACAAACTAATATGTTATAAAACCAAGCCACCATCCATGAGAATAGGGTTTAAATTTCCTGGACATTCTAACCTGCACCATCCGTCTCATCTGGAGGCTGCATAGGAGTATTTCCAACGCCTTGTCTTTTATAACGTAACATGATCGGTTTACCTGAAATGAACCAAAAATATTATTCACAGTAAAAGTCAGTGAAAAACTATTAAAGTCACAAAACAAATTTCGATTGGATTCAGTAAATATAATACTGTAGTAGTCATGGCATAAAGACACTAACAAATACTGTGGTGTCACCTCAATCTAAGCTAGCCCAAGAATTCCATTAAATAATTCATCACTTCACCACTTATCAGCTCACTAGTCATTGATCTGTTCTGTTACTGTGTTATGAACCTCATTGTACAGCATCCACATCCAATTCCAAGCAGTTATATATCAATCTGTGAGGAGAATTCGAAGCAATATCCAAAGAGCAACTGAGTTTGACATACATAATAGTCTGTATGTCTTCTTATTATCTAACAAGATGAAACACTTACGAGAAGATCTAGCATTAAACAAAAGACCAGAAGTTGGGCCCTGGGTTGGGGCATGGGTGGCCTCATACTCCATGTCTGCTATTGTGGTGTCAAAGGTAGACCCTGTCACCCAGTTGAATGCTCCACCTGTACATGAAAAATAATCAAAATATTTACACTTCTTCTTCTACACTACTTCCAAAATTATATTCAATCTTGATAACCAACAGGTGAAGAGGGAGGTACACCATCCCCTTCATTCTCTCCATGTGCCTAAACTATCTTGAAAAGAAAAAAGTTTAAAAATTCAAAGAGATAAAATATAATATTGAAATCCACAATAAATTTTCAGTATTCTTTGAGTTGGTGAAATAGACCATTCATCATTGCTCGCTTACATTCTTCCCCTTTTTATTAAACATCCTCACATACACATATGCAAACACCTAATTTTCTCACACATACAGTATAGCAATTCCAGACACAGTACATTCTATAATTACTGTACCTTTTTGCTGAGTGGCTGAAAAGACATTAGCTTGTGTGGCTTGTACACCACCAAGACCAGTTATGTCAGCATCAATGAAGTCACTGCCTTGGGTCAGACTAAGGAGTGAGTTAAGTGATGAATCAGTGCTGCCCTGTGTCTCGGCAAACAGCGGGATCATAGAGGCATGACGAGCACGCCACTCAGTGCTTACTTTCATCTCCTATTTGGGATGAAGATATATTCATTTAATTTGGTGCATAAATTTCAGCCAAACAATGTAAACTTCAAGGACCTTCTACTCAGTTTAATTACTTTATGACAAATTCTGTAAAATCCCTCTTTATCTGTTCATCAAAAATTACACACACACAAAAAAAAGAATGAAAATACCAGACAAAAATAATCATACCCTAAATTTGCATAAAGTCAATGGCTGGTTAAAGATGTCACGTTGGTAGTCCGCAGAATGTCTTGTCGCCTCCAGTAAGATGTATATGGCTATCTGGAGGAAGGAGTCCTCACTATCTGGACTGTACATGTTACGCAGGATGTGCAGGATGCACTGGGGAAGTGTGAGATTCTTGGAACCTGAGAAAAAGAAACAGCCTTAGAACGATACTCTAAAAATATACTTTATATTTACAATGAACACTTGACATTTTCTTACTCTTGAGAACTAATATTTTAATAATAATGATAATAATATTAATATACAAGGGGTTAGTTAATCATTAAAAAAAGTATAATTCACTTAAATTTCAAGTCTATAACAACACATTATGATATCTAACCTGAACAATGGCACAGTATATTTGCACATGCTTGTATATTTCCTTTTTATTTCACTGTACTGTACTTACCTTGCAGCCAGAAATTGAGAACCGACTGTTTTAGAGCAGCGTCCTCCTCCTTGACGGCCTGCAGCAAGATGCTTCGTGCCTCTGACTCTATCTGCCTGCCTTCTTCACTCTGGTGGTCACTGGAGAGGTGCAATGATGATGAATTCCATTCAACTCAAGGACACAGCATAGTTGATGTTATAAATGCAGTACAGGTTGACAATCCTTTATCCGAAATCCTTGGGGCCAGAGGCATTTCGGTTTTCGGAATTTTTCGGTTTACAGAATGGTTAGTTTTATTTATTTTATTTTTTTATGTGTATTAGCCCACTTGGGCATAGATCACTGACACACATTGGGGCCTGGGGGTCGAAAATATAATAAAAATTATAATAATAATAATAATAATAATTCATAGGTCTAGGTCGTGTTTCTCACTTTTGATCTTTTTTTCATTCTTGTATTTCTTTACTGTATTATTATTTTATTATTACAGTATTATTGTTATCATTATTATTATTAATTTTATTATTATAATTTATTATTATTATTATTATTATTATTGTAATCATTATTATTTTATTTTGGTGTATTTTTATTAAAAATTCTATTTACTATGAATTATTAATATTATAATTATTATTACTAATACATTTTCGCCCCCCAGGGCCCGATGTGGGTCAGTGATCTGTGCCTGGGTGGGCTAATAATCCCTGTTAATAAAAAAAAAAAAAAAAAAATGCCCCACAAAATTTTTTCGGTTTTTGGAATTTCGGATAAAGGGTTGTCAACCTGTATTCTTAGTGCCTTTAATTTATTCAAAGGTCATTAATTAACATTATTTACTCCATATTTTAATTTAGAAGCCAGATCCTTAACCAGCATCTTAAGAAGTACCTTTACACCAATTTTGAACAATATCAAAGCTTTGACCTCATGTGCCAAAATCTAAAGTAATAGGTCAGGCGTTTTCTGAGAGATTAACGCCTTTTTTTCTGGAATGTGAAAACTAACGTGTTGTAATGATAAAGTTAGTCTTTATTCTTGAGGAAATGTATAGAAAGGCGTTTTAAAACTCACAGGTACAGCATAATTCCAGTCTCTCACACAAATCACTTTCCACTCTTCATTTTTCTTATTTTATGGTTTTATAATATATTTTCTTTATTTTTAAATCACATTAGAGCATTATATTACAGTATTATATGTGAATATTTGAGATATTTGAGGAAGGATTTGGTATAATATAGCAGTTATAGTATACAAATGTTGGGTATACAGTAAAAGGTAATAATGTATTTACTAAGTTATCATGGTAAGGGCCTGGTTATAGAAAGGAATGTTGGATTACTTCCTGCATGCTTGGGAAAAAAAAGACACACACATACCTATAGTTATCATACATCCAGAAGAGAACATCATACATTGTTTCCCGGCATTTTGGAGAAGGATGAGAGGCAAAGGCCACAATGCCTGGCATGAAGTATAGCACCTGCGGGGGAGTGAGGCGAGGCATGACTGTATTGACGAGCTGAAGTGACACAAGTTGGGTGGATGACTCTCTGAAAAAAAAAAAATTAACATCACGTACATATGTAGACAAGGATAATAGTCTATACTCACCCCTGAAGAAATAAATTACACGAAAATGCTTGGGAACTTGGTGTTTTCTTGTTTCCAATGTGGTTATCAGCATATATACATGGATCACTCACACCTACGGTGATTTATTTGCCTACTTGTACATATCTATATACTGTACAGGTAATAGTTTTTCCAGCCTTAATATAAGTTTCCATCTTCTACAATTATGGAAAGGTTACTTTGTTCAGAGAGACACAATGAGGCAGCAATTACCAAGACAAAATCAAATATATTGTCATTAAAAGTGAATGGTAACTTACTTTCTTGCTAGAGTTTCAAGAAGATTCTTTTCTTTCAGGTGAGAAAAAACATCTTCCATCTCTAAGGAGTGTGACACTAAACATTCAAGTATACGGGTGCGATGAATCCCATAGAGCTTCGGCAAGAGATTCAGGAGCCTGTTAATGAACCTGAAAACAATGAGAATACCAAATTAATGGAGTACAAGCAAATGATTCTAATATGGCATCTGTTCCATCTACTGTATACATGCACAGCAGTCTGATAGATGGTGTGCAATTATAGAACACCTTTACTGTTCACTAATCAGTATTCTTCAAAAACCAAAACTCAAATAATACCTCCTGACAATGGGTGGATAGTGTTTGTGTATGTTATAAATACAAGTAATGGCTTGGCCTGGCATTTGATGATTTATTTCCAGTACTTTCTGTACAACATTGTCTTCCAGTGTAACATCATCACTTCCTGCAAGATAAATCTGTGTTGAAACACTATGACAAATTCTCTTTTTACAAACAATAGACACATACTTTAGACCACAGTATATGGTTAAAAAACATTTATATTCACATTAAACATTCTAATTTATCATCCATTTTGTTAATTTTCGTATTAGTCACCAGTATATGCAAGTATGTTTTTGCAATACCTGTATACGTAAGACCAAAAAATATTATAATTAATAATGATCTACTGTACAGACATTTCCCCCTTGAAAATCTGAATGTACTGTACAGTACTCACCATTTTCTTGGGTGTCCATGAACTTGAAAACAAGACCCAACACTTCCGAGGCAGTTCCATATGCGCTGGCGAACCGAGAACCCAACAACTTAACCAACAAGTTCTCACACCTGAAAGACACCAGAAATGTGATCAACTAACTTAAGAATGTATTAAGGGAATAGAAAGTGAAAGATTAGTAAAGAGAGATTAAAATAAAGACTGGTAGAGAGATCAAAAGAAAGACTAGTTACGATTGATTAAAAGAAAGATTGGTAAAGAGAGACTAAAAGAGAGTAAGATTCAGGGGTGGATGGTAGGAAGGAAAAGGGACAGCCTGAAAGTAGCAGCAGCATCAGGTAACATAAATGATGGAAAAGGTAGGAGTCAATTGAGTTATGGGATATCATAGAAATTATACACTAAATGAATGAAGTTGACTGAGAGGAGAGTTTTTTTTTTTTTTAATTCCAGTACAGAGGAGGAGCTTGAGGAAACAAACTATATTTACTTCTGTTTTATTTTTGACTGATATAAATGATCAGCTCTAACTCCCTAAAAGGTGGGATTTTTCTTCGTAGTTGGGTTCCATTTAACTTTACAAGCCTCAAGATAAAATTAATTGACAAAAGGTGTTAGAGATAATAAAGAAAGAGAAAGAAACAAGAAACAATGTATACTTACCAAGAAACATTGTATCCTTACCAAGAAGCATTGTATACATACCAAGAAACATTGTATCCTTACCAAGAAACATTGTATACTTACCAAGAAACATTGTATCCTTACCAAGAAACAATATATCCAGGAGGACACTTTAGGAAATATTTACCTTGCCTTTTCAACCTGGGAATCCACATTGTAGGGAGCAACTCCAATTGCCAGCACAATTCCAAGCAGTTGTAGCCCTGCCTCCACTTCCCGATTGGCTCCATCTTTCACTCCCAATAAGGAATAAATTATTGGGTATGGGACAGTTAATACCTCCTTCCAGCACTCCATGACTGATCTGCCAATATAAAAGATGGTACTGTACTGACATGAGATACATAACATTAAACTTGGGATAATTCTCAAGGAAATTAAACTAAAAAAAAAAACTAAAACCTTTTTCTGTTGAAGGTGAAGTGCCCAATTAATGTGTTTAATGACTATAGTACACCCAGAATAAAAAAACAAAGAAAGCCATTGAAAAATCATTAGTGGCATGTGGTTAGCATTGTAAAACTAAATAGAACTGCAAAACTAATTACATTTTCCAACAGTTATCGGGACAAGCAACTATCCAAATATCAAAATTTTAACCACAGATCTGTAATTAGCATGTTCAGGAGTACCTATATCGAAATTTTCAACAAAGCCAAAATTTTCATGACTACAGCTGATGTTAATCTTGTCTTAAAATTGGTAAAATTAGGAAGATATTGTTTTCTTTCTCCTACAGTAATGCTTCCACAGGTAGTGAGGCTCTTTCAACTTGGCCTTTTAATATAAGACATTGAAAGTAAAACAAAAAATAAAGACACTGAGTTCAATGATGACCAACCTGACAACATCAAGGTTATACTTGAACACATCTGCTCTGTTGTGTGGGGTGTTGGAGCAGAGGAAGCTCATCGCACGAGCTACCATGTTCCTTCCTAATACACTGTGTTGTGGTACAGCTTTCTGGCCCCACCCCATCAACATAACCATCTGGTACAGAAGAGAGTAAATATTTATTATACAGCAATCAATATACTGAACATTACCGTAAGTACCACAAGAACCATATTGGGTAACAAGAGAGGGACACGATAGTCTGCATCAGATATATACCATGAAAATAATTATAGGATGCTTATTCTTCTTTCTATATGCAATAAGTCATCTCCCATCATCCAGTAACTCATGCATAACCTCTTCCAAGTCATCTGTTATCACACAGCTCTCATGCACTCTTTGATACCCATACTCTCTCTTTGTTGTACACTCACTCCAAAGAGAATCTTTATGGAGGGATCCAATAAATTTCAAAATGAACACTCCGACTTCTGTTGTCTCAGTTGGGTTATGAAAATCCTTTGTCCACTGTGTCACATTGTCTTGTACAAAATCCTAAAGATACTCAAATAAACAAAAGAATCCTTACCACATCACAGAGGAAATAATTAATCTTATTTCCGAGAGTCCCATCAACGAGGCAGGTAAGGATGGGGTTGACGAAATGAGCAGCGTAAGGAGCAAACACCTTCGAAGTGTTCATCATCAAACGCAATAAGAAGAGCTTCACATTCCGGGGTGTTTCTGCACTCTCAATCTTCTGCTGTATAAGTGTTATCAATTGAGGAACATCCGAGACTGAAGGTGTTGAGTCCTGTGAAAGAAATAAAACACTATAGCAACATCGACATATACAAGTACAATAAAAAAAAAACTCTTAAATAGCAAAAATTAAAATTAACTAACATAATGATATTTTTTTTTCACAGTTCATTAATGTGAGAGGAGACCTTCATTCTGCAGTGGGCTCATGGTGGTGAAGATGATAAATGAGCGAAGAATTATGTATGACAGTGATGAATTATGCATGACGGTGATGACAAATTATGTAACCGCAATAACAAATAATTTTTCCATGAGGTTTGATGATAAGATAAAACACCAAAACTTATCACCACTGTACCCCTTTGTGTAAGACCATAATCTCTGTGTCCACCATGTGATGAATGACCGCTGTGAGGTTGGCCATGACCTCGTGGCCGTTGTAGTCGCTCTGGTCCAAGTGTAGCGACATCAGCTTACTACTGTCACCATCCATATTTGTGGCTCTGTTGAAAAAAAAATCCCTCAGCTAAGACAGAAAGGATTACCAGTACTGTACAGTATATAGTTATTGCAAATGTTTTAGAAAAGTGATAACATTATTCTTTGAAGTAGCTCCTCCTTTACATATTAGGAACATCGAAAGCAAAATGAAATTCATCAGCAAATGCCTAATTTCTAATGAAGGATTAAACAGACCAAATAAGAAAACAAAGAAAAAAATATAGCAACTGTTGGTTACGAAATGAGTATAAATGTATAATGGGCAAGGGAGGGGGGTAGCTACAGCTTTGGTCAATATTCACAATAAACATCGGCCAATTCAAGATGTAATGTTTTAATCACATAGTCATGTTTAAGCCCCAACATGGTCACAGGGTTCAGTTTAGAGAAAAAATACTGTACTGGGACAACCAAGGGAGGAGAGGAGAGGGGGTAAGGTTACAGACACCCAATAAAAAAAGTTTTTGTAGTTTTAATATATTTTGATACTTGGGCAAAACACTCACTTTGCTTTCAGTTGCTCTGTCTGCGACATTGCGAGGACAACAGAATTATTGAAGTCAAACTGACTGATATCTTCCCGCAGGCTACTATCAGAGAGGTAGTGTGAGGCGATGTATTGCACCGTCCCTCCAGCCACACCACCTTCTCTCTTAGCATCCTCTCTCAACTTACTCCGCACAGCAACAAAACGTCTCTTATTTCCCGGGTTAAAGTTCACCTCCATGTCAAATTCGTGGGGCTTGTTGCAGTCAATGAGGCATTCCCAAATAGCTTCTCCTTTAACTGAATTTGCAGAAAACAGGAAGCTGGTGTAGAACCTCAGGTCATTTTGTACACATGCAAGTACAGCAATGAGAGCATTGTAAGCTGCACAAGCACACAGCCTTCTTAATTCTTCATGAGTCTTATCGTGTCTCAAATCCCCTTTGGCAATCTTGGATGCATGTCGAAACACCTCTTTAGTTAGTTCCTTCCCCGACTGGTCGTTTGGTCGGTATGCAGAATTAACTTCTGAACCAGGAGCAAAAACTTTTTCTCGAGGAAGTGTGCAGTACATTATCTGCAAGAAGATAAATATCATGTTTGTTTTGTTATTTAGTCTTCCCAAACACCCTTTCCACTCTGCTAACCCCATTATTCTATGCAATTAATTAACACAATTTCACTCACTTGTAAAATCATGAAGCTCCCAGTCTTGGTAATCAAGACCTTTTGTTGCTCCTCACTTCTTCCTTTAACTGGCAATGACACTCCTGCCATTACTTGAGAGCTAACTTCCACAAGGAATAAGGTAAGGGATGTCAAGCCAGAATGTTGTAAAAGTGGAGACAAGACCTTCTCCATGATGTTGTGCCTAAAACAGAGAACCACAAAATTATTCAAGGACTTAGGAAATATCTTGTCATTACTTAGGAAACTTCTTATTAATCACTAGATATTAACAAAAACATCATAAAGAACTTTGAATGTTAAACCATCTCATATAATTTCAGTATAAACAATGCAATCACAGCAATCTCTCCCTTGAATGGATAAACTGGTTACCAAATACAGTGGTTAACAGAGAATTCCAGTTAGCTACTAGTGAACATTCCCTCAAATAGATAGAATTCTCACTAAACTAGACATTTTTGGTTATTCGTGTAAGTTTCCTGTGTTTATTGTGTAATCATCAAAGAGTCAAAGATTGATCCTAGACATTCAGATAACGACACTCAGACTTTTAACCAATATTCTATATGTTACATCATTGGCACTAATCTCAAAAGTTAGTACAGTCTGGAATTTAAAAACAGGTTGGTCAATACACATTATGGTACAAATATACAGCATATATGTAAGTCCAGTTTGTATGTTTAAGAAGCATTTCAGCCAATGAGGAGAGAGATATCCACCCCCTTCAAACTTTACCCTACACAATGGTAAATATCTCAAATAAGAAAATATATACTACTAAGCTGTCTGTAATGCCACAACAGGAACAGAGCCATTCTACTTTGTGATGAGTGTGACTGGATGTAAGTAGCCATGGTCAAAAACAAATGCACATCAGACAAAACTAATGAATTCTTGCCTGATCAGTTGTTTCGTACATGTCTGGTCACTAAACATTTTGTACACAAGTCTGAGGCTTTCTAGTTGTTGAGTTTCCGATTGTCTCTTCATAAATTTTTCAAGGGATTCGTTCAGATCTTCCTCGTAACGATGTTTATCCTCACGACAGAAGAGCCTGCAAACAATTAAGATTTATTCAATGGCATACTGCATAAAACAAGAAACTAATTCACTGTCCCTCATGGTATCACTCCCATAACAACCAAAGAATCATAATCCTTTCTTTAAATCTTCTAGAATCACTTTGGTTTACATACCTTAATGACTGAGTGTGGCAGTGAGTCACCTATAACATGGGTGTAATGGACCTTGGGACCACGAACCCAATTTATCACATACGTAAAACTCTTTATGGTACAAACAAGGTGACAGTGACCCTATGAGGTTAACCACTTAGGAGAAACAGTACATTCATCACAATGTATCTACAGTAATTAACTGACTAAACTAAACTATTTCACTGAACTTACCTCACAAGGAACTGTAGTAGTACCGGGGACATGGACAATTCAAGGGCAGTGAGCATCTCACTAAGGGCTAGATGGTACTCGCGATCACGTGCACCACCGGAAAGAAACTCAGTAGACTGGAGAGGAAAGTGGTTTAGGCTCAGTAGCTCAAGAGCTTCCCTGCAAAGAAAATTGATAAATATGAGGAAGTGACTCTGAAATCTCTAGTCTACAGTTTGATAACTTAGGTTCCGAGAGCCCTGACAAGTGTGATGGCGCTACATTTGTGAAATTATGAAAAAGAAACCAAGGGCCTTATCCTAAAAAGGCAACAATACCTTTATTTACCTTCCTATGGTGAAAAAAATATAATCCATTACCTTAAAAAGAACCAGTAAATGTATGACCCAACCCAAGTACAGTCCACGCCACTTAAAAGCCACACAGAGTGGCGGCCTCAAAATTCCTAGCCAATAACTTGGCTGGGTCCACCCCCCCAAAACTTACAAACCAGGCAATTAATCGGTGGTCAGCTAAGGTGTAAAGTCGACGCTTACACCCGAACACGTTACTATGAATAGGTTTTAGAAACAGAAAAAAAAATTTTTTTAAATGATTTATCCTCATCTGAGTCTCACTGGATATCACTTCCCATCCTCCTAACATACACTTACATATACAGGTACTTCATTTTCCCTGATCAAACTGCAGAATTTACCATACTAACCCCATACACTTGGCAACAGCTGGCGACATAGTGAAGAAGAAGGGCAACAGTTTCATTGCCTTGATCTTTAATTGTAGCTCAACCTTGGCATCAGACAGGATATTTTTGTAGTAAACTTCTATGTCAGATCCGGGGTTTGAGCAATGCGTCTTGATCGTAGATTTAAGGTCTACCAGAAACAACGATGACAACACTCCGAGCACGGATTCCTGGTGGATGCTCGTTTTTCCCGCTTCGGCAGAAAGGGTTTGCCAATGGTAGAGGAATGCCTGAACCACTTTAACTGAATGCCTGCATAAAATATATTATTATCAGTAGTAGTAAAGTACATGTTACAGAAGGAGCCCAAAGATAAACTTGAAGGGCTGGAGAAATAGGTCCTATAAACTCACTAATAATGTGGAGAGGATATTTGTTCACAAGATTGGTCTTATCATACTGAACATAACAGTATGACAAGGGAACACATCAAGCACTGCATAACACAAGCCACAAATTGGATCATATTGAGAAAACTTTTTTGTTAACTTTCGAATCTTCTACCACTTACTGCAAGGTAGCCACGAACAAACACGCAAGCATGCACTCACGCACACACACCTGCACCCATCCACCCACATGATAAAGTGATGGGCTGAAGCCAAACTTTAACTCCACCTAGCTATACCCAATCACATCCACATGACCTAAACCATGCTCTTGATTTGTATTGTGAATACCGGTATGTGTTGTTTGTCACTGCAACAATATCGTATACAGGTACCTGTATAGTCAGACCAACAGATACCCCCAATGGATAACAGTCATAAGAGAAAACATAATTAATTGTAATGTAATGTAGTGGAATTTCTGCAACTGGATTTTCTTGGTAAATACAATAACTCAGGGTTCAACAGTTTTCATCTCGGACTAATCATAGTAGAAAAAAATATATATATGTTTACATATATATTATATATATAATGTATATTTATATTATGAGGAAAATAACAACACCTCATCCCACACCTAGCTGACACGATCCTGTTTCTTAAAAGCCTCTTAATCCATAGTGCTTCAATTTTATAGCCATTAATAAACAATCTACTTATTTTATCCAAACAATGACTATTATACTAAACAGGAAGGAAGTGAAGGTATATGTTCTGATTACCTCAACAATATTATAACACAATAGCCAATAAAGTACCTTTTTCTCAGCTCTTGACTTCTTATCATAGAGTTGAGTAATGCAGCTGTGAAGCCCATGGCTGGAAGGAACCTTCCATCCTTTATAAGTTGCACACACCTAACAAGTGTCAAGTCACAGGTGACCAGAAGATGTGGCATCAGATTTGGGCCAAGAATGTCTAAAATATGAGAGCCCTTCTCAGTGTGCTGACCATTGAGTCCTGTTACAGTTTCACCATCAGTTACCCCCCTGAGGAGCTGCTGAAGTACCTATAACAGTGAAAAATTATTTAACTGTGCCAATATTGTTCATATTTGTGACATTATGATGTGTCCCACGTAGACTATATACAAATGTCCATTACATACATGTAAATGAGCATTACACAATGAGCAAGCTGTGAGAGAACCACTTGAAAAAGATAACTGAATGATTTTAAACAATATAAGAATTCCATAAACATGTTTCTTTTTCTAACTTAGGAATTTATGAAACTTGATAAATGTAGAAAACGTTTAAGAATCTCTAAAGCTTTAAAAATATATACATACAGTATATATTTTTAAAGACTTGACACCAGGCAAATGTTTCACTTCAAGTCAATTGTAAACAGAGAGAAAGTAAAACACCCGACATTTACATCCAAATTAAAATCCACTTTACATAGCTACCATCGGACTTATAATGTATTAACGACACAACCCTAATGACATGCTTTTATTACCTGTGAGTCCAGGGTAACAGACAGGTGCATCACTGCATTCAAGAACTGCAGATGACTTGGATTAGGAGACACCACTTCTAAGGTAAAGTCACGCTCCACAAACAAGCTGTCACAGACCCATTTAGCAAGATCAGATGCCACTGTCTTTTTAACCTGAAATGTGACAATATTTCTACATAAATGAACATGAAGAAAATATTTTTGATCACTATATGATACACTTAAGCAATGTAAAATGAAGCAGTGCACTAATTATTGGCAGTTCTCAATCCACTATCCACAATAATCTAACTTAAATGTGTACCTTACCAAAATATAACATACTGGTTCGTGTATCTGAAAAGACGAATAAACTTAAAACAATAAAAAACATTTAAATTTACAACTTGTTTATATCTGTCAAGAGGATAAATATATCAAACATACCGTGGAACAGTCAGTCAGCCATCCACTCTTCTGCAGAATCTCTACTCCCTCTATGACATGCTGGCTCCCAAGGGGTATGGTCACTGTTGTAGAAAATGAGGACGGCAAAAGCTTTTCTACGTTGTACTTGGTGAGCTGCAGCTGTTTCTCCAAGTACTGGACAAATGCTTGAGCTACATCTTGTGACACCTTCTCATGCATTACCTTCAGCATATCCTCAAGGCGTGATGGCAAGTGTTTGGTAACTTCAGTGTCCTTAATATCAAACCCAATGCTTGCAGGATCCAAAACACACTGAATTAAAAGTTTAAAGAGTGATGATGACCACAAAGAGTTCTCATCTAAGAAGTGTGCACAACTGGGACCATCCTGTAGTACAACAGTTAAAAAGTCCATAAGTCTAACTACTACAGTACATTTAAGCTTGGTTGCACCTTCACTTTCATAAGGTGTAATCATTATTATTTCATCTCTGGTAATTGTTTGGTTGTTTTGTAAGTAATCAGATATGGTCACTGTTGCCATATGTTCGATGAAGTAAGTGGCTGCGGTAAAGAGATGAACTTGGTCACCACCTAAGAGTTGGGCTGCAGGCAATATTTTCCGGCCAATGAGCCAGCTATAGCCATCCAGTGCAGCTAAAAGTGCCTGTTAGGGGAAAAATATCACAGGGTTCATCATATGCCAAAGTAATTCATGTAATCAGTTCTATGCACAGTTTGAATCTGCTTATTTATCTCTTACTTAACTCCTAGTGTAGCTATAATATGTAAAGTACTTAAATTCCCAGTACAATATGTAAACCTTTAATTCCAGGTGAATAACTACCAAATAGATTATAATCCCAGTACTCTATAAAACTTCACAACTCTTACTGTAACAACATTCTCTGGTAGGTTATTATTGTACAACAATTTAAAACTCTGTGACAATTTTCTGACTTCTTTCACTTGAGGCTGTGATGTATGAAGACCATTAACTATGTCTTTAATGTTTGGCAGGACACACCTGGTATATGAGTCATTGTTTGGGGGACCTGGACTAGAGGACTTAATGTTGATATATTTTTGCTATATCAATAATATGATAATGATAAGGATACAGATAAACAATGAAGAGTTAAATACAATTCACAACTTCTTAGTGGAAACATATATAAGAAACTTACCTCACAGTAATTATTAACATCCTTCACTGTAACTTGTGTCTGGCTGTAAGAGGTGGGAGTGGAGTGGTACTTGATACCTTGACAGGCTTCTTCCCCTCCTTCTAAAATGTCCACTATTGTTTCCATGTTGTCTTTACCAATATGCTTCTCTACAAAGTTAGAGACAGACTTGCAACCTGCAATATTAATCCTTGTGAACTCTGATGCTCATCTGGTAAACATGGGTCCAACAGGGTTAACACTATTATGATCATTGTAAAGCTATCTTAAGAACATCACAAAGTAGCTAGAAGTGATGAGGAATTGCATCTTGGAAAGTAAAGTCACTGATGTATCACTTATCGCAGAAAGTTAACCCGTCCCCAGCCACACTATCAATAAGATTCACTTCATTCTTGATCAAGTATGTTGGCAAATACCGTAGTCTCCTCTGTCTATAAATGAGTACAACAAATGGAAGATCTTGGTGTAACAAAAGATATGAAATAACTGATTGTTGAGTTAGTTACTATCAATCATACTCTGGTCACCATACAAACAAACTCTCTTCTGTACTAATAGACCATAAAACTTGATTAACCTTTTGCATGTGGTGATAAAGATACCAGGAGTTCCATACAAGCATGTCGAACAATGGACTTTGGTCTACCACACTGCTTCAGAAGCCACAGGAGCAGGTCATCTAAGGTCCCGTCACCAAGGTCAGAGGGAACCCGACGATGGGCTGATTTCTAGAACAAGACAAAGTGATCTGAACGTAAGAAGTTTACCACATCGTTATGAGCTTCGAGCCTCTGACCCTAAATATTTCAACCTCAAAAGCAAGAATTTCTACAGCACAAAAAAAGTGTACAGTATGTTAACTAAAGGAACAATTTTTTTAAGATTTGCAAATACTGACTAATCAAGAAGTGAACACACCTTCCAGAAGACCTCTTTTTTAACCCGAATGATACGTTCCACGTGGTATATAGCAGCTTGTGTCTGTTCATGAGTACCAAGGGCAGGGTCATCTGCTTGTGCCAGGTCAAGGGCAGACACTAGATATGTTAAAAGCTCCAAGATCCATATGTCCACAGCTTTTTCATCTTCTCTCACCTCACTGTAGATGCTATTCCATGCTAAAGAGCCGCCTGTAAAGATAACCTTTAATCAAAGTTTTGGTAAGGCGTTAACAAGCATACATATATATTTTCATGGGTTCATGCCAGGTAAAGAAACTACAGAGACAATATCTATGGCCAAACAACTACAAGAAAAACACATAAAGAAAGAGAAAAAGTTGTACTTGGCAATGGGAAGGTTCAAAAGATGTCTTGTTTAAAAGGTTATGGCAGAGAAACATGAGCAGTCAAAGAGGATGACATACAAAGGTTTGAACTAGTTGAAATGAGACTGGTGATATAGATGTGTGAGATGACATTGAGAGATGTGAAACCCTGTTCACAGCTAAGAAGGCAAGTGGTTCTTACTAGCACAGGCGAGGTTATGCACAGAGGTAGGCTGAGATGGTTATGGCATACGGAGCGAGGTGCATGAGTCTATATGTGGAGGGGTGGAAACCTATGGGTAGGCTAAGAATGACATGGGTAAAAGATTTAAGAAATTACCTCAGAGATCAGAACCTTAAGAGAGAGGTAGCAAGAGACAGCCATTAAACAGTGATGAAGATGATGATATACTGTATATGTAACATAATCACAGGAAGCTCTTATACCTTTTCTTTTCCTTTTATAACATATGACCATTTCAAAAAGACAATACTTACCTAGACGCTTAAAGGCACTTGGATGTCTACAAAATGAAAAGATTCTCTTGAGAATTGATTTTAAGTTCGAGGAGACCGTGTCTTTCCTTCGACACTGCTTACGAGACCACTTGACAAACTCCGCTAAGCACCGAGCGCTCACATCTCTCAAAGCTGGATTGTTTGCTGTCACAATTCCTTCCTGCAATAAATTTATCAAAATCAACAAATTTCACTTTCATTAATGGTATACAAAAAGCAGCAATGACAAATGACACCAGTTCAGGAAAATAATCATAAAATGAAAGATAAGCATAATTGATGATGTTTTTGCTGAAGAATTCAAATGAGTTAGCAGCCACTACTGTACTGGTAGTGCTGACAACTGAGAAAAACATGGAAAGGGTATTTAGAAAAAGTAAATGATGAAGTAAATGACAATGTTGATGAGCCTCAAAAAGAGACTTTAGAAAGTAGAGTTAAGTTTACCACTTATGTACAGTACGTATATGATTTAGATGAATCAAAACATGTATACAGTAAAACTCTCTTTAAGTATACCAACACAATTGAACCAGTAACAACTGTACAGTACCTGGCAAGCTGAGCTGAGACTTCATATGATTACCATTGCTTAGTATTTTATAAAACTAGGGGGAAGACACTTAATTTTTGGGTCTAATAATCATGATGTGTTTGGATTTTTCTTAATCTTTACACTACAATACACACCTGATATGTCTTGACAATAGGCGAAGCATAAAGAGGAGCAAACATCATTATTGAAATTACAAGCAGGAATAAACAATCAACCTGACTGTAATTGATGCCCACAAATGAAGATGAGTTTATATAATACTTACTGTAAAGCCATTAATGATAAATTCTAAATATAATAATGGTACACTGATGACTTACCATAATGGCTTCCAAAAGAACATTAGTATCAACATTCTCAGAGTTCTCATTGTTGGTGAACCAGTGAATTGTTTGATAACTTAGAGTGAGGAACAACTGGCGGGTCACTTGGTCAGGGTCACAAGCCAGCTGTAACATGGCCTCAAACACGTGGTGGTATAGTGGTGCCATGGGGTATTTGGCCTGCAGGTCTGGGTGCTGTTGGGCTCCTGCAACATATTTTTAATCAATCAATAGTAATTTATGATTATCTATTTCTTTAATAAATGTTAAAATCATTCAAAATAACTACAGTACTGTATTATGTTCTTTGATAATTTTTTTTTGAGAAGTGACACGATAAGTAAGGCTTTCACATTTTGTTTTTAAAATAAAAGTCTAAAGCAATGTAGAAGCATTGCCGTTGTTCTACTTTTATTTCGGCAACATCCACTGGCAAATATAAAAATAAACACACAGACATTCTTGTTGAGAGTATTGGCAAAGTTTTTTCAAGCAGTAGACTGAGATGGTTTGTACTGTACATGTGGAGAAAACAGAGGAGCCTAAATGTAGAGGGGAGGAGAGCCAGGGGTAGGCCAAGAATGACATGGGCAGAGGTTATAAGAAATAATGTTCAAGTTAAGAACATGAGAGAGGCTGGAAGAGACTGCACAGCACAGTGAGATTCCATCAGGTAAACACAGCCAACCCAAGCAAGTATAGAAAATGGCTGTAAAACATTAATGATCAAGATGATTTGTCCAGGAGTGAGTGAACAATACAAGATATAAATTATTTTATAATATTTATATCCACACTGGTATTACCTGTGCCAATCATTAAGATAATGACAGAATGAAGCAGTTCTGATGCAGCCACTTTAGTTTGCCTATCACTTGAATTTATTGCAAGGTCCACAACATGGGGTAGAATGTCATCTGAAAAGATAATACATACAATTATTCACACATTATTACCAGGTACTGTATATATACCTCCTGCTTCTTCAATAACCCTCTCAAATAGTAATAAGACGATCCACAATATATTATATATATTTTATGACATGTAACTAGTGTTGCAGCCAAAGCAACATTTGAAAAGACAAAACTCTTCCTCAGTGGCAACTATTAATGTCATAAAGCCAGACTGGGAATTCTCTAGTAATTATATTCCATTAAAATTTACACAGGAGCAACATTACAGTAAGCATCACTGACTCTACATTATGCAATAGCAATTACATTACTTTCTTTAGTAATATCTTAAAATAGTCTCAACACTTAACAACAGGTCAATTTTTTTTTTTTAAGTTTCAAAGGATAACAATTTAAGCCCAGTGGGAAAATTAAATAACAAACAACAATGAATATGAAGAATAAAAACACAAATAAAATGAAGTATAGTGAGTTGTTTGGTGATGTTTATACTCTACCTAGAAAAATATCAATCTTGACTTGTTCAAACGGTGTGGCAAATTTGATGTGTTTCAAAGTGTCCCATCTGACAGCCGCTGCAGCGAGAGTGTCGGGGTCTTGAGGTATGACACACATACTCAACTTAGGATCCAAGCTTCCAATCAGACGCAAGATAGACAACTGAACCTTTCTCATGGCTGTCTCGTCCATCTGGAACAGAGAACACCATAATGAGGTTTGTCAAATAAAAAGAAAAATATTCAAGAATAGACAGAAACAAAGATGGAAAGACAAAGAAACAAGTCTGTGCCTTTTCTATATTCACGACACAGCATAAAATTTCCCAGAAAAGATTAATTTCTTTATTCATTTTTACACTGTACTTAAAAAAGTAATTAAAGTAATACCTGTTTACCGTCGAGCATCTTTTTCTGGTCCACCTTCCGTCGCTGGTAGGCAAATGCCATTTTGACTGTAATGACCCTTGCCTGGACCTCAGCTTCTCCTCCCGTCTCTAAAAAAGTAACAAACATAATTTTCTGTGTTTTAAATTTCAAATAAATTTAAAACAAAATGGCAATCTTGATAAAAAAACTTAGGTAGTAAAAAGTGCACTATGATTTCAAACAAGCACAAAATATATAAACAGTAATTATTGTCATTTAATAACTTGAATTACAAAAAGTTATAATTTAAGTTTTAAAGGCTAGACATGTCAGGTGTTATAAAGGGTAGGTCTAAAGAATCATTCCTTGCCACACACAGAATACTATGTGAAATTCCGATGCTAGTGGTTAAAGAAATTGGAGGTGGGTAGTGATGGGTGATGGAAATGGCAGAAGTTAGGTAGCGAGAGAGTGGTTAGGGCAGGAGGTTGGCAGTAAGGGGTGGTGAATAGAGCAGAGCAGGAGTAGAAAGGGTGGTTACTGATAATGGTGAAAGATTATTGGGAGGCACACTAACTCCAGCATCCTCCTCCCTTGGCTCCACCACTACTTCCAACACCTGATGAGTGCTGTGACTATTACTGAATCATGTCAATATAGCTAATAAATGAAACACATGAGTACTTTCCACAGCACCTTGGGAACGAAGATAAGGCAGGAGGAGAGGCAGTACCAGTGGCAAGTTCTGATGCAGTGTATCATGAGGCAACTGACGGATCCACACTTGCAAAGCTGATACACACACCTCAGCCAATGGTAAGTAACTAATACCAAGTTGTAAGGCCATCTGTAATACCATAAAAAATATATAATACCTCCAAGAACAAATACTATGAGCTTTAAAAATCTCAGATAGATGATACCGAGTGGGATGGTTAAGATATAAACCTATTTTTCCTCATTAATACAAACATGAAGACTTTACAACTCAAGTTACCTTTCCAATACAGGTTAAGATTCACAAATTTGAACAAGGCTGCAAATATACATTTTGAAAATTAAAGGAAGTTCATGAAATCCTTTGAACCACCAACAGTACATTGTTAAACTTATAAACTATGACTTTGTATACCTATTGAAAGTGGAATTAGGTCCCATATAAGTACAAGTATACAGCATCTCACTTACAGCAGAACAGTACTGTACACCAACCTGTAAGGGAGACACTAGCTGTGGGAAAATGTCTATGACAATACATAGTGGCAGTTTAAGGATGAGGGTCAGACAGGACGCCAGAAGTTGATCTCGGAACTGACGACAACGTTGAAGTAGTTCCCTGATGTAGCTCTTTATGAGGTGGATAACTGTCCCTACTTCAGGGTCCTGTTAGGTTAATACCAATTAATTAATATCATATAGAGACTAAATGAATAAATCAGTGGGATGAATTATATAAATAACTATAGAGATTATGAAAACTGAAGATGACTTATAATTGAAAGAGGAGAAAGGAAATGGGAATAGATACATACAATAGATATAATCAGACAACACTACCAAGTGGCTCACAACCAAGTGTCTTAATAAGCCGACCTGCCAGACATGGTGTGACCTCTACTCAATCATTTAGTGGACGATGTTAAATGATGATTATAAAGTTAATAAGCTTCATTTTCCCTGGAACTATAAATACTAACCTCATGTTTCTTGAAATAATAAGTACGCTGAGTGCAGGAGAGCACTGTTGTGATGGCAGTATAGTGGGCAGACACGAGAGGCTGTAGGGAGGAGCATCTCACAAAGAACCAACACAGATGTGACACGTGTGGCTCTAGATGGTTCTCACTTTGTAGAGGCAACACTTCCTCCATTAAAGTTATCACATTCATGTACACCTGTAATAACACCGGCACAACTCTGAACATCTATAACCTTGATGAGAAGAAAACCCACAACGGCAGACGAAATGTTGTGGGTTTCTTCTCCTACTTTGTTGTTCATGTTATGGTGACTCTCCAGCCATCTATAACCTTCTGTCAGAAGTACTATACACTAATACATGACAACCTTATCCAGACTACCAATCATTCACTTTCTACTTGTTAAAAACTTACATGAATGTTCTCATCTCACTCCCCGTAACACCAATCAGTGGTCTCTCATTATATAGTGATTTTGTTTGGGTCAGGAAAGTTACTCATGACCTTAGTATTCTTATCCTAAAATGTTTTATCTCATCATTCTTTAATAATGTGTGTATATAATCTGAAAAACACAAGAGAAGATTCTTACCTGAAAGTCTTTGGGAGTCTTGGCTTTTAGCCCAGAGACTGGATCTGAGGTGGCAACACTTTCTTCACCAGTCTCCGCCTCATCCTGACATTAAAAAAACAAGTGTCATCTTGTGTTGATCTCGTCGGTGGTGGCATACATAAATGTTCATAACTCAAAATTTTCTTTGTTTCAGCAAGGATAGAGCTCTTATTACTCTGAATTACAAAAGTTTTTACTGTATACTATAATAAAAGTTTTTGGACAGTAATTAATTTTCGAGGCAGTGAGCGTACATTAAGTAATGCTGAAAATAAAATATGCACGTGGCAACCAAGGGTCAATATACCTAATGAGGATTAAAAATTAAATAATTCAAATCACTAATTACCACCAAGTTAATAAATTACCTTGACAGGTTCTCCTTGCTTGAATGTGGTCAAGTCTAGTTTCTTTGTTATCTCCAAGGTACAGCTGATAAACTCTGAATATAACTTTGAGCTGATCTCTGTCATCACAGTTGCTGGGATACCTATAGTAAAGTAGAGTTATGATGTCTCACTTTATGACACAGGGAAAGAGACTCATCACCTGTTATTTTCCTTACACAGTATATTTACAATAAGGTTAGCAGGCATGGAATTCCAATATAGTTTGATGATTGAGGTGCAACTCTGCATTAAGTAGAGTAATCTATACAGGTAGTGGAACAAACTACATCAACAGCAATGGTGCCATCTGCCATGCATGAAGACATCACACCTGTATCCCTTCATAACCCCTATGAAACAATAAATAAAATAAATAAATAATAATAAATGGACAATTGCGACATTAGAAAAACTCCAGACCTAAATATATTTTTCACTTAATTCTACAACATCCAGGTCATATACATATAACGTTTCCCACAAACTCATAGTACTTTACATACCTTTAACTTTAATATCAACCACCTTTTCAGGCTTCATGAAGGCATTCCAGATAGGTAAGAAGCTCTTGTAACTTGTGACTTCATTCTTCAGTCCCTTCCATTTACCATCACCTTCAGGACTGTTGCTCCTCCAGGTGACACCTTCTTCCCCCGGGGAGGACTCCATCTCCGGAGCGTGGGAGCAAGTCACCACGATGGAATTGTACACTATAAGACAGAAAGAATGATATATATTCTCATAGCTAAAACAATTCTTCTCAAAACAAGAACTACAACACAAATATCAGTGAAACCTCCAAATAACGGACTTCCTTCAAGATGTAATCCATTAGATGGGGGTTTCACATCTAACAGGCCCTCGATATAAGGGACTTTCCTCTTCATATACTCCGTTAAATAGAGGTTTCATTGTATTTCAAGATAAAACAAATTCCATCTGAGTATCATATTTATAAAGGATATTTCTCCATCAAACAACAAGTTTCTATGAATTAATGAGTTAACTGTTTATTTCTAATCTCCTTCCCTTATGTCTCTGTAACAAGTGATGGGTTAAGTGAGATCAGGGAAGTATAGACCAGAGAACAATGTTATTAAGTGGAGTGTTGGGGCCAGACATGTGGTGTCAGGGAGATAATACTTCATCAGAGCAAATGATTTATGATAAATGACTGACCAAAGGTGTGCAGAAAGTCTTGAAAATATTCTGCTTTACTGTACACAGCATGGAAGAGCTTGAAGAGAGCACGGTATGCCAAGAACCTGCGGAACATGGATATCAGGGGGAATTTCTCCACGAGGGCCAATGACAGCTGCTGTACGCTCTCCATAATTCCCATGTTTACCTGCAATGAAAGTTAAGTAAAATATTTAATAATCAAATACTGTACATGTAATTGAATCATAAACTCTCCTTCTCCCTCCATTTAGGATCTAAATTATCAAAAAGATATAACCAGAAATACAATAAAACAAATGTATTTTCTTTTATAACTTACCAAGCTCATGTTGTTAATAATAATAGCTAACGACTCAACATAGTTTGGCAGACTGTTGAGTTTATTTTCTGGCATGTCAGTGGATCTGAAAATATATAATAATGATGTAAGATAAACATACAGTACAGGTATATATACTTCAGGGAATTTTACACTTTCCATAAAAAAAACAACCACTCCCAATTAAATGGGAACTAAATAACAAAAATCGTGGCAAAAAAATAACAATTAAAAAGTGAGCAACTGTCGAGGGTGTAATTCTGTAATGTCACATTTTCACCACACATTATGCAACAGACCCTCAGTAACTCTAATGAATATGGAGAAAAAGACATTAATCACTTCTATTTTTTTAGAAAACCAAATATTTTCCACTCAGGGAAAAAAAAAATTCTTGTGTATTCTTTAACATTTTATTAATAGTGACAGTGTTATCATGTAGTGTATTATTCAGAAGCACAAACACAGGAAAAGGCCAGTAATGTAATGTTCTTATGACCTAACCTTTGTTCTTTTTTATACTAATGTTGTGTTCTCTGAATACTCTTCTCAGATGCACCAAATTTTTATTCACTACTGGCCTGTGATGAAGAGAAATCAGAAGAGTACTCACTGATAAAAATAATAATGGCTTGCAGTGAGGACCTGAGTGTACATGGTGTGCACCTCAACAGGTGAGAGGAACAGTCGGCACGCTGCTGAGAGTGAGGCGTAGCCCTTCACTGCGAGGCCCACTTGGGAGGTGCTGTCACTCTTTTCTAGCAGCAGGTTATATTGTTGCAGAAAATACTGTCAAAAAAATTCAGTAAGAAAATTTGTTTCTGAGGGGGAACACGTCCACAACATTCAGCAGGCTACACATTTTATTCACAAAACAGTGAACGGGGATTTTTATCACACCAGAACAATGCAGCACACTGTAACAGGTAAAAATTTACATGTGTTTCATATTTATGGCAAATCATTTGATGTAATGACACTAACATTTACGAAATACAGTACAGTAATATATCCGTTAGCCGGAATCCCTCAAACCCGGAACACTCCGATAGCCGGAATTGAAATTTTCTCGAAAAATCGTTCCCAAAGCCGGAATTTTCTGGAAAATTCCGGCTTTGGGAACGACATTCCAAGGGACACATTTTCGAGAAAATTCTGAGAAAATTTTCCCAATTCCCGGAAAATTCTGGGGATACAGGAGATTTTTTCCGGGTTTGAGAGATGAAAATTAGGAGCATTTTCCGGAAATTCTGAGAAAAATTTCCGTTACCCGGAAAATTCCAGGAATGGGGGATATTTTTCCGGGTTCGAGAGATGATGTAATGGGCAATTTCTGGAACTTCCGAGAACATTTTTCCGTTACCCGGAAAATTCCGGGGATGAGAGAATTTTATCCGGCTTTGAGAGAGTCATTTCATTACACGGAAATCTCTCATTTCTGGAAGTGCTCTGCACCAATTGTTCCGGCTAACGGGGATATCGCTGTACAAACGATTACTCATTATAAAACAAAAATAAAATCCCAATATCTTTAAATGAGTTAAAAGTTACAAAGCAGAGAGAAAACCTTCTCTCTATCATACCTTAAAAACTTGTACACCTTTCTTGTCACCTCCTCCTGCCTGCAACTCCAACATATTTGCTATAACACAGATGAAGGTGTCCATGGTAGGTAATGCAGCCTTGTGATCATCACGGTTCTTGGCGCCGCACCACTTAATGAGCCATGGGAACAGTGTGTCGTACTTCTCATACATCTGAGCAGAGAATTTATCCCCATGAGCGCAGACCAGTTCCAGAGCAGCTGTGTTATGAACAAGTAAGAAACATTTATATCGCATCCAAAAAATTCTTCATGTTAAATCTAAAATAATAAAGACCTACCTGTCAACACTCCTGGTACAGTACAGCTCAAAAGGTAAAGAACAAAAAAACAAAAAAAACATAAAACATAAATTCAATGGTTATCTACATTAACTGGTTAAAAATTTGGAACTAATGAAACTTGATTTTTTAATATATTATTTCCTGCATCATTTAGCAATAATTTATTTAGTAATGCAGAACAGCTCCACTTTTCCTTCCCTAGTGTTAGACTTGACCCATCTCCACTCTGTAATCTTTAGTTATTCTCCATAAAATATACTGTACTGATGTGACCATAATTCATTATTCTCCAGTCCATCTCAAGCACACTAATTCTCTATAACTTATCACAAAACTCTTAGTATACCATTCATTACATGACTTGTTTCTCCTTTCATACATATAACTTTTAGAAATTTCTTTTATCTGTAATCTACTGTACATGTCCTTCAGGTCCACACAATAACTAATAAGTAAATCAGTCAGTCATAAACACCAGGGTATACCTCACCTCTCTGTGCATCCCTTCTTGGCAAGTTTAAATCAGGATTCAGGACTTTGTGAATATGTTTATAGAGGTGCTCAAACAGCTGAGGATCATCATCCAGCCCCTCAGGGAAGTGATACAGGTAGAGAGTGAGTCCTCGCAACACTCCTGCCAAAGCTATGAGGTCAGGTTTGGTGCCCGTCTGAAATAAAACATCATAAATTGAAAATTCATACATGAAACTTGAATCTTGCACAATGACATCATACATACAGGTGTTTCAAGCTACTCTAATGTGATTAAAGTACTGTATTCAGTACATATACTACATATAATTACAGTAATGTCTCCTTCACTGCTTCTTACCCATGAAATAAGGAAGATTATAAATAAGTACAAACAATGCCTTGTCCAGGACATGTTATTGGTACTAGACTGAAGAAGGATGTTAATATAAAACCATCATGTCATCTTTGTTCGTACTAATAATTATTATTTCCAATAAATTTATGCAATTTTAAAAGCCATTCAATCTTATCCAGGTAATGTCATAGAAGAATAAATGTACAGAAGTAATATGGCTGTAAAAGTTAACATACTTACATGCTTTGCTAGTTGCTCCTTGAAAATCTTGAGTATGAATGACGCTTGGTGACGCAAATTTTCAGGGTAGGTATTGGTAAGCATGCCTAAAGTTCTCAGTTGATGATGCATCACTGAATAAATCAGAGCAAAGAGAAAAGAATGAAAAAAAAATATTACATCTAATTTCCTATGAAATTTCCAATATGACAGATCTTTGCTGCTACCATTATCACCAGAATGATACTAATGTCATAAAAATAATTTAGTAAGGGGGGGATAAATGTAAAAACATGCAAACCCATGTAAGTTAGATGTGTTCAAAATGTACTAATACAGTACTCGTATACAGTATACTGTAGTACCAACTAAAAATACAAACACCATCCAATCAATCAGACGGCCTTAACAAACACTGAACATACCTGTAGAACCCTTTGGACTGCGAATACTAAGAAAGAGTCGTTCAATAAATTGGTCCACATTAATATCGGCAACATTTATGTGGGATCCACATTTCTCCAACAGTACACAGAACACCTCAAGTGCCACTGCACGTACTGTTGTGGAGTTGTCCACATAATAGAGAAACATGGTGTACTTCTGAAAGAGAATAAAAGCAGAGATGTAAGATATCAACATTGTTGGGGTGAATTCGTGTACACAAGGTAATAAAATTATTAAGTACAATAATTCCCATACCTTTCATGAAAGTAAGTTACAAAATATTTGATAAAAGATACAGCATTAATATAATACTTATATAGTTATAACATACAGGGTTAGTTACATCACAAAACTCAGACACCCATTCATGGCTCTGCTCATCATTACTACAGGTCAAGGAGCATTTATCTGAAATTCTGAAAACCAAAAAGATAAAATCCTTCTCTCTAAACATAAAATTAAAAAAACTTACTCTGATATCATCAACATATTTAACAATCTTCTTGACATCTTTTTCAATTAAAATCTTGATCACATTAAGTGTACTCTTCTTAGTTTCCACAAATGCTTGATCCTTAGACACTTTTCGGCCAAAGACGATGATCCCTTTCTCGCCCAGGACATGACTCAGGGACAAATCTGCAATATATTAGAGAGCTTTATTAGGAGTTACTTTATAAATACAGTATATTTCACAAGGAATCCAGTGTACTCAGTAACAGGAACAAATATCTGAAGACACGTAAAAATACACTTCCAATTAGAACTTTAATCAAGGTTAAAAATTAAGTCAAACAGGAACCTAGTTTATAAATACAATTTTATTAATTTTCTAGTCAGCTGTTCAAGACCTCTGAAAAAGTGTACACACTGTACGAAGTTTCATTGAAATATAATAAATTTCTTCACGACAGCTGCCATGGTGTTCATGGGTATGATGAAATAAGGTACTGTTCGGGTAGGAAATTTTGTCCAGAGTTAAGTCACCACAGTAACCAAGGATTTAATGTAGATAAGCTAAGCCGACCACACCTAACCTAACCTACTATCCTAGGATACCTCCCACGTAAATGTGAATAACAAAGTGTGAGGCCAGACATACTGCCTCACACGCCTGTACTCACGCATTTGTGAATAAGTTACCCTTTAT